TAGACAAACCTCATGGTTGTACGGCAGTGAAGCATCAGTGGCAACACTGATGTTGCTGTCATTGATAATGATGAGTCTCAGATCCAGTGGTCAAGTGTTGGACTACGATTTCCTTATAGGACATTCGCTAAACCGTACTTACGGATGCAACTCCAAGCAGTGCGCGTTTAAGACATCAGGTGAATAATCGGGTTAGTAGTCCCATTCTCACCACGGAAATATAATGTCCCCTTTGTTCTAGGAGCGAATTATTGATAAGTTTCATTAGCTGTACGTGGGTTGACATTCTGATGGGAAATTGTTATTTCCGTGGGTTCCGCTTTGGTTAGGTAGTTTTTAGGTAGGAAGGTTCGGTCCATCTGTAATTTGAACACTACACTATGAGTTCAATATGAAAACGGGCTTCCTCTATTTTGTTCCCTCTTGTAAGGTTCACAGTTACGTTATCATGCGGATTTTCATCTGCGGCTCAACTTGCGGGTGATACTAGAAAGAGCTGACGGGTGTAAGTACTGGCAAACTGAAATTATGGTAAGTGTACACATCTGGGAGCCACAGGGGTTTCACGGTTTACGCCCGATCTTACTTAGTAAAAGTAGTACTGACTGAAATGACAATCACCTTTCTGATCTTAGATAACCAGTGAGTTGAGTCACAATGATATTGATCGTTTCCGCGTTGAGATACCCTATGCTTGTGTTACTACAGCCGAAAAGTCATCAACAGCGTTTCCGTTAACCTACCTTCTGCTAACTGCAATAGACAGTGTACAGGTGTTCTCTGAAGGGTGGTAAGTTAGCTGGAACCTTTCTCCCCAAGTTGGAACCATCCCATGAAGGTCAGAGTGGAGCAGCAAACCTCCGCACATCCAGAAATTGTGGTGTAGCTTGGAATCAAAGGGGTATTGTTCTCTGCTATAGGATCGGGGAAGCAGTAAGATGTTTCTACCAGGAGGTTATCTTCATATCCATGGACGCTGCAGTACTGCCTTCCCCTGACTAAGGATGGGTAAACAAAGGTAGGCCTTAAAGTCTCGCAATTCAGTCGCTCCGTGTTTGATCCTGACCACCGGCTCAGTCATTAGGGTTCCGGGACGCCCATACAAGACCCTGCCACTGTAGTCTATCCAAAACTGGTCAAGGGTGGCTCATTCTAAATGGATTCCGGCGCACAGTCGGTTGAGTGCAGATAGACTGGCCGGGTCCATCGGAATATGAATCCTGAAATGTTAAAATCCCCATATGCCCCCAACAAACTGCAGCGATATACCTACATTGAGACGCAGTAAAGTTTGCGGTAGAATAAATGAGCAATCAATTGTTTAATTGCTGAAAGTGGGTGATACTTTTTTATGGTAGTTCTCTAACTCAACAGGGCTATCTTCTGGTGACTGGAAAAGGATACCTATCAAATGAAATCACTGTGGACTATCGCTTGGCTGAATATTGCTTCCCTTGTTTTTTTTATGCTCGGACCTACCGGATTGCCTTGTGGAAATGATAGGTACTACCTTCGGTCCTTCTGATCTCAAATTTTCCGTACTGCGATCGGATGTGAGATTTAGGTGCATTCAGTCATGCTTGTGAGGTTCTGAGATTGGCGAGTAAACTGTCCAACAACCCTGGTACATAAAATATGGGCGGAAATGCGTTACTTTAGGCAGTTGATGTCGAACAATGGCTATCACTGCTTGAAGAGGAATCTTTCCCATACGCTCCGGCGCACTTGTATCGACACCCAATGAATGATCTCTATAACCGGCCGTATATCCCCGTTTTGTTGACTCGATTGCGTTTTGTCGGACATGCGCTGATGTGAAGACGCGGTGAGCAAGTCGGGCCCTTTAAAGGGTCTCTCTTCAAGGCAATCGGTCTTCCGTATTTCAAACAATTTTAATGGCTTGACAACCGAACGATACAAGCCAATGGTCTAATGGCCTAAGTCTACCGCGTTAAATCATGGGGGGTATCTTGGATCAACGGTGATCCGCCTACATGTTCTAGTTGATGCTGAAAGTACTCCAAATTTTTTGTCGAGCTGATTCACCCAATGGCGTCCCACTTGTATGGGTGCTGATGCAGTTATAGTTGTCTAGGTTCTGAGTGCATTGCATAGTCGAAAATAAGATCTTGTCAATCAAGGATGGAGTGCAAATTGCTAAACTTAGTCGAACCAAGTTTGCTGTTAAAGGCATCTATTGAGATAATGACAATAGAACCAAAGGACTTAATTTGTCCCATGAAAGTGCACACGTAGATTGCGTAGGTCTCAGCAGCTAGCTTCTAATTTTGCTCAATATTGGTGGATCCGTTGCTCACAATTTCCCACTATAAATGTATATTAAATGGATCGTTTGGTACTTTGACTATTGGTAGGGCTTTTACTAGACTCAGCTGCACGAATTGGTTTCGTATGTCTCGTATTTCCCAGTGGTTTGTGGGTTGTTCGGAGGACGGTGTGCATGATTCATAGACTGTTACAGCCAGATGGTATTTTCTAGTAACGCGTAAATCCAGAACCTCCGGGAAGGCAAAACATAGTCCCAGCAGTCACACGTGCATTAGGTCGACCACAAAATGACTGCATGAACTCAAGGTCAAATGAGTGAAGTAGTAGGGGAAAACAGACGGCAGTTCGTGTGCACACATTAAACAGGCAGAGCGGGGGTTACAAATATGGACAATAAACATGGGGAATTTTAAATGTCAAAGTAATGGACGACAGCCTTCCTTGTAGCTAACTCGAGGAGCGGTGTCCACATGCTGAAAACTGGATCCAGTGGTAATTTAGCTTGTGATAGAGTGACACGCAATAAATTGATCAAACAGCACTCATCTGTGGAATGTTAGAGAAGCATCCCAAGAAGTGCTATTTTTCGATGTTCTGTCCATTCAGACCCATGCCCAACTAATCTATCTGCCTACTGATAACAACCAAGTAGTGTAAGTTACGGAAGTGCGAAATGCTGGTTGTGTGACAAAAAGGGACCACTTTTCACCATCATACTTCGAGGTGAACAAATCCCCTCGGTCTACGACATGTTTGGTATGGAGTCGAGGAGGTACGAAGGACTTCCTACTGTCCTTGTCCGAAAGTTCGAATGTTTAGTTTTGTTGTGGACAACAGTCCCTTAGTGTCTTCTTGTTGCCGTGATCTCCGGTCTGGATAGCCGCTCGATCGCCTAGTGTGCTTGACCAAACCAGAAAGGTCAATGAATGTGCAGCCAGTTGCTCTATTTATCACTGTCGCGTACAAGCGGTTAAAAGTGATACTAAGAATACAACTCATCTGTTAAGGGCGAGTGGAGAACAACCAATGAAATCTGTCTCAGCAAACAACGGTTATTCCATTGGCATTTACGTAGTCCCGTTACGTTCGGAGCTGGATGACATTCCCGATTCGACGAGTGATTTCGCCTTGATGCCAGGATACGCAATTACCATGACACGGTCTGTCCAATGTCAAAATATCGCCACCATACTTGCGATCATAGTAGAACTCCATTTTCTGATTTGATAATTCCTACCCCTCCTTCGGAGGCATCAGAAAGTCAAAGGTGCTTCAAGAAGTGCGGTACAGTAGGGCATCTGCAGGCGATCTGCCCTCCGGTGTTGCCATATTTCGAGTCAGGGGTACATCAAGAGGAATTCTACGATGTTTGTCGTGGTTCCATCCCCTTCATTCAACCAGTCAATCATTCAGAATGGGCAGCACCGATTGTGGTAGTCAAAAAGCCTAACTGCAAAGTCAGAATATGTGCAGACTTTTCAACTGGTTCCAACGCGGCACCAGAGGATCATCATTACCCGCTGCCGCTTCCAGATAAATTGTTTTCCAAGCTGAACGGTGGAAAAAGTTCTGCCAAGTTGGATCTATCTGATGCTTATTTGCAAGTTAAACTGTCATATGAAACTAAGCACCTACCTACAATTAATACACATCGTGATCTTTTCCAACACAATCGACTACTATTCGGTGTTAAGTCAACACTGGCAATGTTCCAGCAGCTGATGGACACCATGCTACAAGGACTATCGTTCGCTGTTGCTTATTTGGACGATATTATCATCATCGGCTGTGATCCAGAAAAGCTGCATAAACGCCTCGGTCGAGCACTGAACCGAATCCAAGACTATAGATTCCACCTCAGAAGTGACAAGTGTCAATTTTTCATGGGTTCCATCAAATACCTCGGATTCATGGTCGATCGTCATGGCCGAAGACCGCACCCGAAAAACACAGATGCCATCAAACTAATGCCTCAACCCATAGATTTACCTACATTGAGGTCATTCCTGGGACTCATCATTCATTAGAGTGCTTTTGTGCCAGCAATGCATGATATCTGTGGTCCACAACAAGTTGGCGACGGAACCATTGGAAATTGAAATCCACAATGCCAGTTTCACATGAAGAACTGATTTTGATTTTGCAACACCAACATGCAAAATTTGAAGTCTCAGTTGATGTTAGTCGAAGCAATCCTACACAAATTGGATACAACTAAAACGAAGAAATCCTCTGTTGACGCTGTCTTGAACAGCATGGTTGAGTTTCATTGCGATGCGTGATGCAAAATTTAAGTCTCAGTTGAGGTTAGTCGAAGCAATCCTACACAAATTGGATACAACTAAAACGAAGAAATCCTCTGTTGACGCTGTCTTGAACAGCATGGTTGAGTTTCATTGCGATGCGTGATTCCAGGTTCGTTCCCAGTAGTCCACAACAAGTGTAATTCCAAACACGCATATGCCCTCAAGTGTGCATACTAGTTTTGGAACACTGACCAGTCACAAGTTAACTTGAGTAAATACTTCAAAATGGCAACAGTAGTGTGACTTTATGTATCAAAATAATGCGTTTTCAATTGAATGGCTATTATTGTACAGCTGTCAAGATATGTGGACCGATCACTTGATTAAAACCCTTCATTATGACATAACCGAGAGGAGAAATGATGGGAAATCGTGCGATAAGACTTCAGTTCGATAGGTAAAGACGCATGTCGAAACGGGAGACCACCTGCGATATTCCATCTGAAGTAAATTGCGTCGAGCAACAAAACAGTGCCCGCGTAATCCGAGTCTATTAGTTTCTCTAAATGTGATTTTAATATTTAAGTTCATGGCCCTTTGAAGTGTACACTTCTTGGTAACTTCAATCACATATGTGAACAAAAAGGACGGAATAACTCTGAGTGCGAGGAAGCTTTTAAGGAGTTTATTGTACACCATAACTAGGCCGGATGTATGAAAATACAGAAAACGAAGATGCTTATGAACTTAGGGACAACTATTTATGGCACACAATACTTAAAAGAGCATATTTATCCAGATTTGAGGACTCCAATAAAGTCAGGGAAAACCGCTTGTATTGATCAGCAGAACGTTTGGCGCTGTTCAAGTATTTGCTATGATACAAATATACTATCAATCCATCCTCTACCAAATCGAAATCCTGCTTGTCACTGTCGGGCTTGTGTCTCACGCTCTGAAGATAGACGTCGCGATATAGTGTGGACCAGTAGTCGAGTCACAACAGACTTACGCTCAAACACTCGGTTCGGATAACTTTTTTTGGACACGGGTACGACAGACGACTGGCCTCAAGCCTCTGGACTACTTTCTCACTCCCAGGTATGTGCAATGAACCTGGTGAAGATGTTACACAAGAATTCCATTTCATTTGTTAACATCGATGTTGGAGGCTCATCTGGCCCACCAGGCCGATGAATCTTCAAAACAGAAAGGTATATTAGTACTTCATCAGCTGAAGGGATCTAAATTCACAGACCAGTTGAAATAGATCAGATTTTGCGGTCCCCAACAGGAGGACAGCTTTTGCCCATCAACAGAGTATGGCTGTTGGAGGATCAGGGTACAACAGTTCTTCATTTGTGAAAACATACGTAGGAGGTTTCATCATAATGGTTTGCGGATTCGTCGAAACGATCAGGGAACATGCATTTTAGCCTGGTTGAGGCACCTTAAGTGTAAGGGACTGACACAACCTAACTGACAATCCGACACTGATCACAGAATTGCACCATCGACAACCCAATTTCGAAAAATGAAAGCAAGTTATTGGTCCCAAACCAGAAAAAACTTTTGTAATGCACTACCCATAAGGTTGCTGAAAACCCCTCGATAGCCTACGACCGGTTTCACCCTTCTTGGGGCTCATCAGGTAGGCGCATTCCTCGAGTTTCCGTCAACCTTATGTTCTACTTGAAACCAAACTGCACGAAATTAGCCAATATACACTCATTTACAAACTAATTTGGTTTTTCGAGAGACACACCTGGAACCAAGCTGAATCTCTCGGTTTTGGCGTTCCCAGGAAAGCACTTCATTTGGTAGAGCTCCTCGCCGTAAGTTTCTTCTACTTAACCCCGCGTTTCCATACAAATGAACGTCGAGTTGAAGAAACGTTGTGGGGATTGAAGATTTGACACAAAATCACTTTCCGAGAATATATCTGAATATTGCAACTTAATACAGGTTTTTTTGGAAGAATTTACAATTCCCTAGTTGAAATTACGATAGTCGATAAGTCACAAATAATTTAGAGATTAGGTTCATGGTATGCTATCTACGGCATCCATGTACTACATGTAATATCATTTAATTGACGAAGACTCCAAAAGGTGAAATGTTTTTGGTAACCATACTTCTGGTTCACCCGGACGGTTGTGATTTGCACACTATTCTTTAACAGACGGTTCTGTCCACACATACTCTGTTCATTAATGTCCGGGAACGTCGTTCCTCTTTTGCCGTTTTTTCGAAGGCAATGCTGTTATTTGTCTGTGAATATTGGGGAATGTACCTACCCGGATATAAACTATGGGGATTGGCTGAAAAGGTACACTGAACTTATTCTTTTGTCAGTTGTCTAGGTGATGCCAAAGCACATGACAAGCAATCGTTTGTGTGTGCAAACGGAAAACTACATTGCACATTGTCAGACTTCAGCCAAAATTTGGTAGTTATATATGTCCGTCTCACAACGGGAGCCGTCCAGAATGATGGCTGCTACTTACGACGTTCGGAAGTCGTATGCCAAACCAGTACTATGTGGTAGATGTATCTTACTCGATCTGACTCACCGTCCTCCAGGAGAAAGTCGCCATCGCGGAAGTAACGTGAATAGGTCTGTAGCAGGCTTATCAAGCATGGACATTTACTCATTGTAGCCTGAAGTAGGATAAACTTGTCACATACATGCCGCGACTGGCGAATGACCAGCCTTCGCTGTGAGTAGCATGAAAATTTGATAAGTGTAGTGTTGTCCAGCAGATTCCGGCCTCCTCTGAATTTACAACTCACAACTGTTTTCACTCCTGCATGCATCACTGATTGTTGTTTACAAAATAACGCAATCTGAGCCATTTTTCTGCCTTCATGTGCAACAATTTTAGTTGTAATCATATCATCCATTTTATTTTCTGGGCATGACCGAAAACAGTGTACGTATTACAACATCGTGAACAAAAAATAATGGAACGGAACACTCGTCAGTTCTTGGGAAAATGCTGCCGACTACTAGTTGTTGAGTTCAGTGCTTTTAGGATCATCCTCAATTTTCACCCACCTTCATCTTCTCGCCATAGAACTCTCGAATCTAGCTGGCTGCTAGATACGTGTATTTCGGGATTAAATACCTGAACAGGTGGGAGTATAATGCATTCCGAATGGAAGATGGACCAGCCGATTCATCATCCGGTCATGAAACACTCAGAATCTCAGAGCCATCACTGAGTACATGACAGTACAGTCGTCCCCTTCTAAAAAAACACCCTTCAGCTTCTTGTAATTTCTGTTAGGTTTTGGAATTTTTGAGGTAGCAACCCTCAGCTGAAAACACAAAGCAGTTTTCGAACTGAACTTTGTTAAAAAAAAAATAAGAAAAAGACCAAAGGTTCATCAGCTCCGATTGTGTGACTTTCTCGAATTTTGCCCGTCACAAACTCTCCGTCTTGAAACTCGCGAACACCTTGGGTTCAAGTGAGACGTAAGTTCAAATAAACGGTAACAGTGTACGTACCTAGAAGAGTGAAACCGGTTGTGCGCTGCCGAAAATTTTTCGGTAATCGTACGAATACACTAAAACATGAGATGGTCTTTGCGCAACGCATTCTGTTGTAAAATGCCACAAGCCAAATCTTAAGCTGAGTCTCCCGTTAAAACCAACGTAACTTGCAAAATAGTGTATTTTACAAATGGAGCGAGCTGAACCACCTTCTCGTGGTGCCGACCGGGTAGCCTGGACGTCAGTCTGGGTGAGCTAAGTGTTCAGCAACTCCAGACAGGGCCAACCGCCCCGTTTGGTTTCAATGTACTGGTTTCTTCCTACAATGTATACTACGAATCATCTGGCGCCTCCGCACCAGTTCCAACCAGTACACAGGAGAGACTCGTTGAGTTCACGTGTGAGGAATGTGGCAAGTGCTGCAGATCGAAAGCCGGCTTGGTAGCCCACCATCGAGTTCACGACAATGAAAGTGTTGGTACGAACACGGTTGCCCAATTGGCCTGCGTTGATTGTTCCCGCCTTTTTCCGACGAAGATTGGCCTGAGTCAACACCGCCGGCACGCACACCCCACCCAGCATAATGCAGATAAGCTTGGCCGAGTGAAGTATTCCGGTACCCGCTGGTCCCAGCAAGAGTCACAATCGCTCTTACGCCTGGCTAACAATTTATATCCATCTTGTGGCACGCAAACCGAGCTGTTCACGAGGTTGGAGCAGTATTTTCCTGGTCGATCGGCTATACTCACAACTGTTTTCACTCCTGCATGCATCACTGATTGTTGTTTACAAAATAACGCAATCTGAGCCATTTTTCTGCCTTCATGTGCAACAATTTTAGTTGTAATCATATCATCCATTTTATTTTCTGGGCATGACCGAAAACAGTGTACGTATTACAACATCGTGAACAAAAAATAATGGAACGGAACACTCGTCAGTTCTTGGGAAAATGCTGCCGACTACTAGTTGTTGAGTTCAGTGCTTTTAGGATCATCCTCAATTTTCACCCACCTTCATCTTCTCGCCATAGAACTCTCGAATCTAGCTGGCTGCTAGATACGTGTATTTCGGGATTAAATACCTGAACAGGTGGGAGTATAATGCATTCCGAATGGAAGATGGACCAGCCGATTCATCATCCGGTCATGAAACACTCAGAATCTCAGAGCCATCACTGAGTACATGACAGTACAGTCGTCCCCTTCTAAAAAAACACCCTTCAGCTTCTTGTAATTTCTGTTAGGTTTTGGAATTTTTGAGGTAGCAACCCTCAGCTGAAAACACAAAGCAGTTTTCGAACTGAACTTTGTAAAAAAAAATAAGAAAAAGACCAAAGGTTCATCAGCTCCGATTGTGTGACTTTCTCGAATTTTGCCCGTCACAAACTCTCCGTCTTGAAACTCGCGAACACCTTGGGTTCAAGTGAGACGTAAGTTCAAATAAACGGTAACAGTGTACGTACCTAGAAGAGTGAAACCGGTTGTGCGCTGCCGAAAATTTTTCGGTAATCGTACGAATACACTAAAACATGAGATGGTCTTTGCGCAACGCATTCTGTTGTAAAATGTCACAAGCCAAATCTTAAGCTGAGTATCCTGTTAAAACCAACGTAACTTGCAAAATAGTGTATTTTACAAATGGAGCGAGCTGAACCACCTTCTCGTGGTGCCGACCGGGTAGCCTGGACGTCAGTCTGGGTGAGCTAAGTGTTCAGCAACTCCAGACAGGGCCAACCGCCCCGTTTGGTTTCAATGTACTGGTTTCTTCCTACAATGTATACTACGAATCATCTGGCGCCTCCGCACCAGTTCCAACCAGTACACAGGAGAGACTCGTTGAGTTCACGTGTGAGGAATGTGGCAAGTGCTGCAGATCGAAAGCCGGCTTGGTAGCCCACCATCGAGTTCACGACAATGAAAGTGTTGGTACGAACACGGTTGCCCAATTGGCCTGCGTTGATTGTTCCCGCCTTTTTCCGACGAAGATTGGCCTGAGTCAACACCGCCGGCACGCACACCTCACCCAGCATAATGCGGATAAGCTTGGCCGAGTGAAGTATTCCGGTACCCGCTGGTCCCAGCAAGAGTCACAATCGCTCTTACGCCTGGCTAACAATTTATATCCATCTTGCGGCACGCAAACCGAGCTGTTCACGAGATTGGAGCAGTATTTTCCTGGCCGATCGGCTATCAGCATCAAAACCAGGTTACGGGTGCTTAACTGGCAAGCACAACAGGACGAATCATCATCTGGTGAACCTGAGCAAACTATCGGTCAGACGACGGCCAACTCATCAGAAGCCGATGACTACAGCGTCTGGTTTAAACAAACCGTGGATTGCACCGCGTCACTCTTGGAATCCCATGCTGACCGTTCGCTCGCTAGTGTTGACCTTCTGGCATTTGCCCGAGGGTTGCAGTCTGGCATCATGACACCGGAGCAAGCCCTGTCGCTTCTGGACCTCCACGCCTCCAGGACATTTCCACACAACTGGAAAACTGTTTCCCGACGTCGCCGCCAGTTAGCCCATCGGATCCCGGTCAGCCGAAAGCAAATCCGCCGAGCCAACTACGCCGCCATCCAGACTCTATACCACCAAAGACGGAAAGATGCAGCGTCTGCTGTACTCGATGGGTCATGGAAGGATTTATACAAAGGAAACTGCGGCCTACCTATGGACGCCGAACAGTATTGGAAACAAGTGCTCTCAGCTCCAAAACACGCGGATAGCCGACCAAGTCGCATGGTAGTACCATCCGACTGGAGCTTGATCGAGCCAATTACAGGAGAGGAAGTTGGCCGTACGATCCGTTTAATGGGCAATTCGTCCCCAGGCCTGGACAAGCTCACACCCAAGACGCTCCGCCGGTTCAATGCTAATGTGCTCGCTGGGTATTTCAACTTATTTTTGTTATCTGGGGGTTGTCCCCCACATCTGTGTAGAGCCCGTATTACGCTAGTTCCGAAGGTCCCACATCCAACTTCACCTGATCAACTGAGACCGATCTCCGTGTCATCCATTCTTGTCCGTTGCTTCCATAAGGTGCTTGCTGATCGCTGGAGTCGTAGATTGCAACTGCCCTCTCTTCAGTTTGCATTTCTGCATCGAGACGGCTGTTTGGAAGCCACATCGCTGTTGCATGCCCTGCTTCGTCACTCTTCAGCGACTGCTTCTAACCTCAGCTTGGCGTTTGTCGATATCTCGAAAGCGTTCGATTCGGTTTCGCATGACACAATCGTCAGATCTGCCAAGGCGTTTGGAGCTCCGTCACCTCTAGTTCGATACATCGCACAGTCCTATGAGAATGCTGTAGCAGTTTTCCCCAGTTCCGAGGTTCACTGCCACAGAGGTGTGAGGCAAGGAGATCCACTCTCCCCATTATTATTCATTATGGCAATGGATGAGGTTCTTGGATTGTCGATGCCGCAACTGGGATACCAGTTCCATGACACCTTAGTAGATGGTTTTGCTTTCGCTGACGACTGGGTCGTGTGTGCAGAAAGTCAGGCACGCCTTAAAGAGAAGCTTGAAGCTGCTGCGGTCGAGTTGGGAAGAGCTGGCATGAAAATAAACGCCCGAAAGACTAAAGTGATGGTTATTTGTGGGGACAGGAAACATCGGGCAACAGCAGTCTCAGTCGAACCATTTCGCTTTGCCGAGGAACTAATCACTCCTCTGGGTCCGACAGACACTGTAACATATTTGGGCATTCCCTTTACCTCCAAGGGGAAAGGGGTCTTCAACCACCGACAGCACCTGCTCAAACTGCTCGAAGAAGTGACGCGTGCCCCGTTGAAGCCGCATCAAAGAATGGATATCACGAGGAACTACCTGATACCAAGGCTGACATATTCGCTCGTGCTCGGCCAAGTCCACAGGAACACACTAAAAAGATTGGACAACTACATCAGGCAATATATTCGTGGCTGGCTACGTCTACCGAAGGACACCCCGATCAGCTACATCCACGCCGGTAAACAACATGGGGGACTTGGTATCCCAAGTCTGAGTGCAACAATCCCGATGCAGCGGAAAACGCGTATGGAAAAGCTCCTCTCTACTCAGTGCCGAGTACTACGCAATGTGGTCAACGATTCCGCATTCGGCAAAATTGTTCGGGATCTCAGCCTTCCGATCCGAGTCCATGGAGCATGCGTAAACACCAAGGAGGAGCTGGTGGCTGCTTGGGGTGAAAGTCTGCACAACAGCGCTGACGGTCGCGGTTTACGAGAGTTGGTCACTTCGCCTCTGTCGAATCGATGGCTCGTATTCCCAGAACGAGTGTTTCCACGGATATTTATCCGGGGTATCCAGCTCCGATGCAACCTGCTTAGGACGAGAGTTAGAAGCGCTCGGCATGGTCATGGTGGCCAGACGATCTTATGTCGTGGAAACTGTGGCCAACCGGAGAGTTTGGTGCATATTTTGCAATCCTGCTGGATTACGCATGATGCCAGGTGTGCTCGTCATAATCGGGTTGCAAGGGAACTTGCAAAACGTCTCCGTCGACTGGGGTACACCGTCTTCGAGGAGTTGAGAACCCCTACTTCTACGTCGTTCATCAAACCTGACCTAATCGCTGTTCGAGATCGCCGTGCAACCGTAATAGACGTTAGCATAGTCTCGGATGGGCGTGGAGAGATAGTGTGGAATGAGAAGAAGCAGAAGTATGGTGCTGATGAACATTCCCTCGCCATAATCTCAGCCCTACATGCCATCGGTTGTGATATCGACTTTTTGGTTCACCAACCGGTGATCATCTCCTATCGAGGGATCTGCTTTCCTCAATCCGCTAAGGCTGTTATTGGACTGGGACTTCCTAAGGTCGCAGTCAGTGACTTGTGTTTGCTTGCCATTGTGGGCTCCCTGCGTACTTATGACACTTTTATGCGTGGCACATGGCGTTGAAGGTACATTTTTGCCATTTAATCTCACACCAGACCCAGTATGACGGACACTTTGTGCCTGATGTGCGAGTCTTGACTGTGCTAGCGCACACTGCGCCTTGAAGAGCATTCACCATTGTTTGTCCTTTCTTTGGTTGTTAGTCTTTAGACGCATGTTCCCACACCAAAATCTTTACATACTTTGGGATTCACCTCATAGACTGGCACTGTCCTTGGCATGATTTCGAATGAGACGTTTATCTCTTTTCTCCCATATTCTCCTGTTACTCTTTCGCATTCATCGCTTGCATTCACTTTTTGTTTGTGACCATGCTCTTCAAAAATAAATGATAATAGTAAGGACGATTACGTTACTGTTCTCCTACAAGTCATTTCGCCTGATGTGTCGACCTCCTATTTCGTGGCGTCGTTTACGATTGACGAACTGACCGGTAAGGAGAAATGCTGAAGATCGGATTTAAGCGACGGCCACTTTTCGATCAGAATTCACAGCAGCTATCAGGAGATTTTTCTCGTTCGGGCCTTTTGAGATGCGGGCATAGCGTTTTCCTGAATGGGTTCGGCGTTGGCTGATGGAAGTGACAAAAAATCAGCACAAATCCGTTTTGTCAAGCAAACCATAATGTTTGCCTTAGCAGCGAGGGGAGAACAACTTGCAATACGATGCATTC